CCCCCATCAGGGCCGGGGTCACACAGGCACAGGAATTCTGTGAGGGGCACAGAGCCCATGGGGACACAGTGAGGGACATCAGGGCCATGGGTCACACAGGGACAGACCCCCCTGTGAGGGGCAGGGACCCCATGGGGACACGGTGAGGGACATTTCTGCCCCATCAGGGCCATGGATCACACAGGGACTGTGTGAGGGGCACGGAGCTCATGGGGACAGGGACATCCCTGCCCCACCACAGGAATGTCCCCATCACACAAGGACAGGGACCCCCATCAGGGCCAGGGTCACACAGGGACAGACCCCCTTCGAGGGGCAGGGACCCCATGGGGACAGGGTGAGGGACATTCCCACCACGGGAATGTCCCCATCAGGGCCGGGGTCACACAGGGCCAGACCCCCCTTTAAGGGGCAGGGACCCCATGGGGACACGGTGAGGGACATCAGGGCCGGGGTCACACAGGGAGAGACCCCCCTGTGAGGGGCAGGGACCCCATGGGGACAGGGTGAGGGACATTCCCACCACAGGAATGTCCCCATCACACAAGGACAGGGAGCCCCATCAGGGCCGGGGTCACACAGGGACAGACCCCCTTCGAGGGGCAGGGACCCCAGGGGGACAGGGTGAGGGACATTCCCACCACGGGAATGTCCCCATCAGGGCCGGGGTCACACAGGGACAGACCCCCCTTTAAGGGGCAGGGACCCCATGGGGACACGTGAAGGACATCAGAGCTGGGGTCACACAGGGACAGACCCCCCTTTAAGGGGCAGGGACCCCAGGGGGACAGGGTGAGGGACATTCCCACCACGGGAATGTCCCCATCACACAAGGACAGGCACAGGGCCAGACCCCCCTTTAAGGGGCAGGGACCCCATGGGGACACGGTGAGGGACATCAGGGCCGGGGTCACACAGGGACAGACCCCCCTTTAAGGGGCAGGGACCCCATGGGGACACGGTGAAGGACATCAGAGCTGGGGTCACACAGGGAGAGACCCCCCCTGTGAGGGGCAGGGACCCCATGGGGACAGGGTGAGGGACATCCCTGCCCCACCACGGGAATGTCCCCATCACACAAGGACAGGGACCCCCATCAGGGCTGGGGTCACACAGGGACAGACCCCCCCGTGAGGGGCAGGGACCCCATCACAGGAATGTCCCCATCACACAAGGACAGGACCCCCCCCGACCCCCAGGGGCTGTACACCCTGTCAGGGTCACACACCCCCAGGACAGGGACGGGCTGTGCGCAGTGACAGCCCCGCCAGCGCCGTTAATTGACAATTACCCTCTAATTAACGCTGTGACACGTGTGTCCCCCCTCCCCGCACTGCCGCGGGTGGCATCGCTGCATCCCCCCCCCCGCTCTTTTTTTTCCTTTTTTCTCCGTTTTCACTGCAGATCGCCGGTGAACGGTACCTGTCCTGCTCCTCACCGAGGGGCTCGTCCTCACCCGGTTCCTCCGGGAAGGGGCTCTGTCCCGCCGCCGCCTCCGGTTCGGGACCCTCAGGCTCCTCCCGCGACATCCCGGCCCCGGGGGGCTGCAGGGCAAGGGCCCCGAGCTGGGGCCGGTACCGGGGGTGGGATCGGGGCTCTAAGCCCAGCTCGGGCCGGTACCGGGGGATAGGATCGGGGCACCAAGTGCGGCTCGGGCCGGTGTCAGGGGTTGGTTCGGGGCACTAAGCCCGGCTCGGGCCGGTACCGGGGGATAGGATCGGGGCACCAAG